TACCAAACCTATCTATCATTCTGCGACGAGTAAAAATTAAAAAAAAGAAAGATAACTGGGCCCAAGTGATGACAAATGTGTCAACAAGTGAACAGAAGCTGTGTAAAATGACGTAAACAAAGTCCTGATCGATATCCCGATAGGACGGTCGCTGCCAGCCATCCGCACATCACGAGTCCCGGGCCGTCCGAACCGCCACGGCCGGGATCGCTGTCTTCCCCCCCCCCCCCCTCTGCATACGCACACACGACACACGCCAAAACTACTCTGTGAGGACAAACCAATAAATAAAAAACACACTCACACAGTGCGCGCGCGCGTCCCTATGTATGTATGTAAGTTTGTTTACATGTATGCTTGTTTGTGTGTACATATACATACATACATACAACACGCAGACAGAACCAGCCAAATAATGTCTTATCAGAGCAGGTAGACCTATTATCATTTACAGATAATGCCTACACACGACCATCCCTACCACCACTAACCACACATAACATCAAACACATAAACCACACAGTATTCACTGAAAAAGCATAAACACCTAGTACAACAGACCTTTCCCAATCCGAAATACCATAAATATGATAAAAATAATCATATCAGCTGTAAGAACCTTGGAAAGAAGAGCGAAGAACCCTGGATAGATTATCAGCTGAGGTATTCTCACGTTGTGTTGTGGCCTCGCAACAACATCCATTATGTAGAAAAAGTGTAAGACAAACTAAGGACAAACATATGCATACAAAGTATAAGCAAACCTACACATCAAGGTAGTATAAAATATCTATATGCAAACGCGTGCAAGCGTACGTGTGCACACGCACGCGCACACACCACACGCACACACACACACACACACACACACACACCACACACACACACACACACACACACACACACACACACACACACACACACACACACACACACACACACCACACACAACACAACCACCACATACACACACAGCACAACGCACACACATACACACACGCACACACTTCCCTACTTACCCACTCACTCGCTCACTCACTCATGTACTCACACACTCACTCCCTTCCTCCATTATAATAAGAGTGTCGCCCATTCAAGTTGCTCTGAATGAATGGCAATCATGCAAACACGAATGCAAAATCACGATAAAAATAATTCTCCGTCATTCTCCCTTCCTCTGACACTATTTAAGCAATAATGCTAAAGCTACCCATTACTCTATTATGGTACGCACACAACACCGCGTGACGTTCTGCGCCAAAACATCTGCGCAGACAAACTAGCAAATAGGCATAAAAAGCGAAGCACAATTTATAACACAAATATCTCCATCTTCTTCTCCATCTCTGTCTGTCCTGTCTGTCTGTCTGTCTGTCTGTCTGTCTGTCTGTCTCTTCTCTCTCTCTCTCTCTTCTCTTCTCGCTCTCTCTCTCGCTCTCTTTCTTCTCTCTCTCTCTCTCTCTCTCTCTCTCTCTCTCTCTCTCTCTCGGTCTCTCTCGTCTCGCTCCGTCTCTCTCTCCTCGGTCTCGTCTCTCTCTCCAGCTCCGTCCCCTCTCGTCTCGCTCCGTCCTCTCTCTCTTCCTCTCTCCTCTTTTCTCTTCTCTCTCTCTATTCCTCTCTTTCTCTTTCTCCTCTCTCTTCCTCTCTCGCTCTTCTCTCTCTCTCTTTCCATCTCTCTCTCTCTCTTCCTCTCTTTTCTTCTCTTTCCTCTCTTTTCTCTTCTCTCTCTTTTCTCTCTCTCCTCTCTTTCTCTCTCTCTTCCTCTCTTTCTCTCTCTCTCCCCTCTTCTCTCTCTCTCTCCTCTCTCTTCTCTCTCTCCTCTCTCTTTCTTCTTCCTCTCTCTCCCTCCTTTCCTTCTCTCTCCTCTCTTTCTCTCTCTCTCCTCCTCCTCTCTTCCCTTCTTTCTCTCTCTCTCTCCTCTCTTTCTCCTTCTCTTCTCTCTCTCTCTTCTCTCCTCTCCTCTCCTCTCTTCTTCTCTCTCTTCTCTTCTCCCTCTCTTCTCTCTCTCTCCCCCTCTCTTTCTCCTTCTCTCTCCTCTCTTTGTCTTCTTCTCTCTCTCTTTTCTCTCTCTCTCTCCTCTCTCTCTCTTCCTCTCTTCCTCTCCTCTTCCTCTCCCTCTCCCTCTCTCTTCTCCTCTTTCTTTCTCTCTCTTCGCTCTTCTCCCCTCTCTCTTCATGTCTCTACTTCCTTCTCTTCTCTCTCTCTCTTTCTCTCTCTCTCTCTTTTCTCTCTCTTCTCTCTCTCCTCCCCCTTCTCTTCTCTCTCTCCCTCTCCTCTCTCTCTTCTCCCTCTTCCTCTTCCTCTCCCTCCCCTCTCTCTCTCTCTCTTTCTCTTTGCTCTCTCACCCCCTCACTGATCCTTTCTCTTTCTCTTTCTCTCTCTCCCTCTCTCCCTTTCTCTCTCTCTTCCTTTCTCCCCCCCTCTTCCTACCTCCTCTCCCCCGCTCTCTTCTCTCATACCCTCTCCCCCGGCTTCTCTCTCTACCCCTCTCCCCCGCTCTCTCTCTCTCTCTCCTCTCCCCGCTCTCTCTCTCTCTCTCCCGCCCTCGTCTTTCCCTGCCCCCCCTCCCTCTCTATATCCGTCCCCTCCCCCCTCTCTTCTCCTCCCCCCCTCTCTCCCGTCCTCCCCCCTTCTCTCTCTCTTCCCTCTCTCCTCTCTCCCCCTCCTCCCCCCTCTCCTCTCTCCCCCTCCTCCCCCCGTCTCCCCCCTCTCTCTCTCCCCTCCTCCCCCGTCTCGCCCTCTCTCTCTCTTCCCTCCCACCCTTCTCGTCTCTCCTCTCTCCTTCTCTTCTCTCTCCCCCTCTCCCCCCCTCTCCTCTTCCCCCTCCTCCCCCCTGAGCAAATATGCATAAAAGCGAAGCACAATTATAATACAAAATTATCACCCATTTCCCGTCGCCCCTTACCTTTCTTCTCCATCTCAGTCTGTCTGTCTGTCTGTCTGCTGTCTGTCTGTCTGTCGTCTGTCTGTGTCTGTCTGTCTGTCTCTTCTCTGTCTCTGTCTCTGTCTCATCTCTCTCTTTCTCTCTCTCGCCTCTCACTTTTCTCTCTCTCTTTCCTCTCTCTCTCTCTCTCAATTCTCTCTCTCTCTCGCTCCGCCTCTCTCTCTCGCTCCGTCTCTTCTCTCGCTCCGTCTTCTCTCTCGCTCCGTCTCTCCTCTTCTCTCTTCCTCTTTTTTCTCTCTCTCTCTATTCTCTTCTTTCTCTTTCTCTCTCTCTCTTCTCTCTCTCTTCTTCCTCCTTCTCTCTCTTCTCTCCTCTTCTCTCTCTTCTCACTTTCTCTCTCTTCCTCTCTTTCTCTCTCTCTCCTCTCTTCTCTCTCTCTCCCTCTCTCTCTCTCTTCTCTCTCCTCTCCTCTCTCTCTCTCTCTCCCTCTCTTTCTCTCTCTCTCCTCTCTCTCTCTTCTCTCTCCCTCTCTTTCTCTCTCTCTCTCTCTTTCTCTCTCTCTCCCTCCTCTTTCTCTCTCTCTCCCCTCTCTCTTTCTCTCTCTCTCTCTCTCTTCTCTCTCTCTCTCCCTCTCTTCTCCTCTCCCTCTTCCTCTCTCCTCCCCTCTCTCCTCTTTAACTCCCTCTCCTCTCCCTCTCCCTCTCTCTCCTCTCTTTCTCCTTCCTCTCTCTCCCTCTCTTTCTTCCTTTCTCTTCTCTCTCCCTCTCTCTCTCTCTCTCCTCCCTCCCCCTCTCTTTCTCTCTCTCCCTCCCTCTCTTTCTCTCCCCTCTTCCTCTCCCTCCCTCTCTCTCTCTCTTTCTCTTTCTCTTCTCTCTCTCCCCCTCTCTTTCTCTTTCTCTCTCTCTCTTCCTTTCTCCCTCCTCCCCTCTCTCTCTCTACCCCCTCTCCCCCGCTCTCTCTCTCTACCCCTCTCCCCCGCTCTCTCTCTCTCTCTCTCCCTCCCCCGCTCTCTCTCTCTCTCTCCCCGCCCTCTCTTTCCCTGCCCCCCTCTCTCCTCTATCTCCGTCCCCTTCCCCCCCTCTCCTCTCTCCCCCCCCCTCTCTCCCTCCTCCCCCCTTCTCTCTCTCTCTCCCTCTCTCTCTCTCCCCCTCCTCCCCCTCTCTCTCCCCCCTCCTCCCTCCGTCCTCCCCCTCTCTCTCTCTCTCTCCCTCCCCCCTCCTCTCTCTCCCTCCCCTTCCCCTCTCTCTCTCCCCTCTTCTTTCTCCCCCCCTTCCCTCTTCTCCCCCTCCCCTCCCTCCCTCCCCCTCCCTTCCTCCTCCTCCTCTCTCTCTCTCTCTCTCTCTCTCTCTCCTCTCTCTCTCCTCTCTCTCCTCTCCTCTCCTCTCCTCTCTCCTCTCTCCCTCTCCTCTCCTCTCCTCTCCTCTCCTCTCCTCTCTCCCTCTCCCTCCCTCCCTCCCTCCCTCCCTCCCTCCCTCTCTCTCCTCTCCCCCTCCCCCCCTTTCTCCCCCTCCCCCTCTCTCTCTCCCCTCCCCCCCCTCTCTCCCTCCCCCCCCCCCTCTCTCCCTCCCCTCCCCCTCCCCCCTCCCAGCCTCCCTCCGTCCCCCCCCCCTCTCTCCTTCCCTCCCTCCATCCCTCCCTCATCTCCCTCTCGAGGCTTTAATCATCCGATAGTCTGAGCGTACTCTCCCCACCCAAGCCAGACATCCATTGCTCAAACAAAGCCAGCACGTTTTCCGGCAAATGTCAAGGGTGGAGGTAGCGAGCCGAACCCTCCTCCCGAGCAACAGCAAGTAGCAAGGGTGGCACTGCGGCACTCACCTGCGGGGGTCTAGCCCTCTCTGAGCCTCCGGAGGACGCCCTGCACACCTTGCACACGCCCAAGAACCCCGTCCCGTAAAGGCGAAAGTGGCCTCAGTCCAGAGTGTGGAGAAAATATCCCGCTAAAAAGGCGTGGCACAAAGACTTACCTTGTAAATGACACAAGTGTTTTGGGCGGAGGACGTTTTACGGTTAGACGAGGAAGTGGACAACAGAACTGGGCTTCATTACATCTATAACAATAAACCAGTCAAAAGTAAGGGCAAGGAATAACACATAAACCACTTGGGGCAAATACCTTAATTCAGGGACGTTAAGTACAACACAAGGCGAGGGAAGTCGTTATCTTGACCAGGGTTGTTTCGATGATCTTCGCGCACCTGGCCACTTTTTCCTCCCTCAACAATGTTTACGGTCAGAAGTCTAAAAAAAACTGGCCTCCCAGAGCTGCAGTGACCAAATTTAGCCTCTTGAACTGACGCCCTGGAGCAGTATTCTTTCTTGGTCGCGTCAAATCACCACATAGTTCTTCAGAGTTCAGGTCGGAGGGACATCTATGTAGGCACCTCGATGGAGAGGATACAGGAAGTCTAGCTACGGTCCCTTCTTCACGCCGGCTAACGAACTCCACCTTCTTTCGAGGAAGATTTCGTACGAGGCTGAGGGTTTCGGTCGTGGGACCAAGCTGAATCCCAAGCACTATCCCAAATCTTTCCCAATCCCGCCACAACTCAGGCCTGGCGAGCTGTTCCTGGGGTTCTGTCCCTTGACACTGAACTGCTTCTCACTTCATCACACCTTATCTCCCCACAAACACCACGAGATAAGAGTCACTAAGCGATGGCTCAGCTGAGTCAGCCAAAGTGAGTCGTGTATGAACAGAGAACCTGGGGGAGTCAGTCAGTCAGTTGGCACGTTGCTGTCTCTACTGCCCCCGCTTCCTCTGTAACGATACTCGGCTGCGCACCAGAACACGTCCACCCTTCGCCACTGCTCGCTTAGCTCTG